GGCCTCTGGACATGCAGCCGCTCAAAATTCCCCGACATGACTCCCGATTGCATCACCTTCGTCTCCCACAGCTACAAGATTTCCGATATGAAAACCCAAGAATGACGACAGAAGGGACCGAATCTAGGGTTTGAGGAAGAAAGATTACCGCTTGGAGCTCGCTGAGGACCGCATCGCCGGCGCCGGAGCAGATGAAGTCGTCCCGGACCTTGTTGACGACGTCGTCGATGACTCTGACGTAGACGGAGGAGACGTTGCTCGCCATTAGGGCAAGAGCATGGAGGTTGGTTTCTAGGGTTTCGAGCTTATTAGAGAGAGAAGAGAGAGAGCGGGCACGAGAGAGGGGAACTATAAAGGGCGAGAATATAAATAGGTTTGGATCCGAGGAGGAGTGGGGACACGTGGCTGGATCTGAGAGGGCGATAGAAAGGACGGCGGTTGGAGGATTTGGGATAGCGACCAAGGGAGGAAGGAGCTATATATATATATATATATATACTAGTTGGATTGCACGTGCAATGCACGTGGTTAAGTTTTTATTTTTTGTTTAAAAATTATAATTTTAATTATAATGTTTTATTATAAAATTATGGAATGTAAGTAATGGATAAAACATATATATACATAATGTAAACATTCAACATCTTATAAGAATGTAAAAGAAGTTCAAGTTAAGAAGTCAAACAAACGTTATCTACCAACAAGGCACTGTTTTGCTCTGTATTTATGCATTTCCTTTCACTGTGATGTAAGGGTCCAAACATTATACATGCATTATCAGTCATGCTCTCAGTAAAAATTTTCCACTTGATGAGTCACTAAAGCTACTAAACTGAATGATTAATGTTACATTTGAGACGAGTAATACAATGTTAGAGGTTAGCTGCTGCTTTCTTCAAGAATGGGCTTTCTTCAATAGTACCTTGAAAGTCCGTTTTCTAGAAGATAGCCTGAATGCCCAAGCATGCGGCCAAGCCAATTGATCTCTTGCTGCACCTCCTGAGTTTTGAGTAAATGAATCTATAAGTTCTTTTTCAATTAATCTGGGAGGTGCAATTTCTCTGTCCCAGACTGAAATTTATATATAAATGTTAATAGGTCATAAATAAAAGAGCACAACAAATACATGCATGTCATGATGAAGAATTAATTTCTTGAATAGATTACTGCCTTAGTTTCATTGTTTCTACAGTAGAATTTATTTTATAAACTCCATACTTGGCTTAATCATGTGTTCATAATTCTCTAAAATGTATAGAATCATATTCTATCACCCCTTATTAGTTGTAAAGGAGAGAATTCTTCATCATGGCTCTTTGAATTTAAGGGGGGAAGCTAAGAAATGATCACTAATTGTTTGAAATTTTTATACTTTTTGGTAGTAAATGAGAGTCTTTTACATCATGGCTCTTTGAAGTTAAGGGGGAAAACTAAAAAATAATTCATAATTGTAGAAAGGGTGAAAAGGTTTAGCGGCGGTCAATACAATTTAAGCCTTGCCTCTTCTTCTTCTTCTTCTTCTTATTTTTCTTTTTATTTTTATATATATATTTTTGCTTTATTTGGTTTTTTTATGTAAAGTATGTTGATGGCTGATGTTCAGGTGATGCTTTTTTTTGAAGGCTTCTAAATTCCATGTCTAAATTAAGGGGGAAATATCAATTGTTATATCCTAGCTTGTGGTGATTGACGACGACGATTTGTCCGCTCCCCCTCCTGTTATAACTGTTATATCAACTTTTGGATATGGGACTTTGTAAGTTCTGTTCGCATCCCTCTTGTAAATTTTTAATAATTTAATATTTTTTCAATGAATAGGTCACCTTGCCTTGTTTTTCTATTTAAAAAAAGACGGGAAGAGGATTAAATTCATATTAAACCCTATAGTTTTTATCTAACTTGTACTTGAAAATAGTTCAGCAAAATAAATAAATAAACAATAGACTATACAAGTAGCAGAAGGAGAAGATGACCTCGCCAGCACCAAGAAACAAAAAAGTGTGCTCCGCTAATGTTCCACCAACCAACTTTAGTGCTGCAACAAGCCCAGCAAGGACAACAGAAGCTGTTCCATGCAATGATTTCATTTATTAGATAAGTGTTATTTTGTTCAAAAACCAAATAGACAATTATTAAGTTGAAAATGAGAGAAGGAATTTATCACACAGCTAACATAAAGCCACATGCTTGCTTTACCTGAATATCATCGTTAAAGACAAGATAACTTGTGCTATATTTTGCAAGCAATTCAAATGCATTATGGTTTGAAAAATCCTCAAACTGCATGCATAAAATTTTAGTTAAATAAACTTGTAGCAATAAAGGAAAAAAACAAAATTAAATTTGGTAAAAGTACGGTAATGCGTGGTAATTTGGCCAACCTGAATAAGTACTTTATCCCCATAGTTCTTTTTGACAGCAGTCATGAATTCATGTATTAATTCAGCATATTCCTACTCCAAAATGTACAAGGCAACAGTTTAGTAATACTAATTAATGCTTATTGTAAATTCCACATAGCATGCTAGTCAGTGCCTATAGAATCCCATACCTGACAAGTAGCAAGCTTTTGCCGCAACCCAATATAGAACTCATCATTCAACAATTGCTTATTGTTCGTGCCCACATCAATCGTGATGGGTAAGCACTGCGAATAAATTTAAATGTCTGTTGTATTATTTCTTATGGAAAAAACATAAAGCTCTGCAAAAGGACTGTTTAGGCTATTAGAACTCAAAAAACATAACAGATCAGGTAATTAACATGCTTACAGCAGTTGGTCGAATCCCTCCAAGGGCTGTGTACAAAGAAAGCTTGCCAACAGGAATTCCCATACCCTGAACAAAGTCTTGGAAAGAAGCATTATCAAATCAGCAAACTCCAAGATAAGATTGTTTCCACTATATTTCAATTACAACTCTAACTTCAAATTCACCTGACAGCCAAGATCTCCAAGCCCAAAAATGCGCTAATCATCAGTAAACACGATAATCTGAATACTCCTCTCAGGCCAATTCTTCAACACCTCAAGAATCTTTCCCCTACAAGATCAAGCAACCTTTCAGTTTCAGTTACAAAAATCACCGAAATACACAAGAAGCACAAGGAATTGCAACTTACTTCTCCTTCAAGCTGATATAAAGAACTTGTGGCCGCCTAAAGATGCAACCATACTTCTGGCAAGCCTCGCCAACTGTAGGTGTGTAAACAACTGTAAGCAACTCTTCAACATTATCTATTAGAAGCTTGTAGAAAAGTCTCTTATTTCTCTACTGAAAAACATTAACGGAAAGGCATAAAGAAAATGAATCTACATCACAATCACGCCCCAACAGTTTACCATTGCTTGGTTAAAATTAGCATAATATGGTCAATTAAGTAATGAAAAGTCATTTGAAACCATGAGTTGGTCAAGATATATGCATAAAGAAAATAGGTTCAATCCCATATAGTAATGCAGTTAGTGGAGTATGTCCACAAAAGTTTGCAATTCTATAAATAAATAAATTTCTTGCAATGAAGTAGCCAAAATTCCTAAATGAACATATCAGTTCTGGGAATCTTTGTCAAACTGAATCATTGACCACATACTCCTTTATCTTGCACTGTAGAAAATGAATTAACAAAAATATCAACACCACATACAAGATTTTTTGAAATCCCATCCTTTTCTCAATAAAAAAAGAAAACAAAAATAAAAATAATCCAGGTGATGTACCCAGATGGAGATTTTCCATAAAACTCCTGTAACTAATAAGAACCAAGGAAATAAAAGCAGCTACCTCATGAGGATAGGTCATTGTTTAGGCAAGTATTTTAGATAACGAAGAAGCAATTGCTACACTTCCAGGACTGAGCTTATCCACCGTAGTATTTTATGGGAGTACACAATAATGTCAAACAAAAATCAGTACTAAAACAGAATGAACTGAAAATGTATCTGCAAAGTTTAAGAGCAAACTTATTACCTCTTCCTGCCAAGTAAGCTTTGATCTTTTCATATGCAGGAAACTGGATAGCAACATGGCTAACTCCAGCTAAAGCAGGAATCAGACCACTGTTGAAGAAATGAACACAGCATATAAATACAACAATCATTAAGAAGGATCAGAAATACTATAAAACATGATTAATACTACGCAGACAAACACTACCTGTATAGTTCTCGGATGCCTTATTCATGACAAATCTGCTTCAGAGCAGAAAATAGGAGAGCATCCAGTAAGCTCTCATCAGCAGAGACACAATTGCCTTCAGTAGAATTACCAATCAGGTAAAGTTGTGTAATTCAAAAGATTAGACTGACTTTGAGCTCAATGTCAGATAAAGTAATATAACTTGGCAATAAGGGTTATTCATGCTATCACATGATAATCAAGTGAAAGATAAAATTTATTTTCCAACACTGAATAGATGTTATCAAAAGAAAGGAGTACCTTTGATGCAACATCAAGTGCATTTGAACCAACAGGATGAGCACTCAATTTTGCCAGGTACTTAACATTGTGTAATGCTGAAATTTCCAAGTAGATGGATCCTCTGCCACATAACTTTGTAAAGTTCCTAATTTGTAAAGTGATGCTCCTTAAAGAAATCAGTTACCTTGATGACGAGCTGATGAGAGTGGAGGTTTAGTAGCTTGCATTGATATAAGGCTACTTTATCGATTACCATAAAGAGGATGTGGTTGATCAAGGACTTGATATCTGTATTGTGCTGAAGGCTCTGAAGAAAGAGGTATAGAATGCCGCTATTCTCTGAATTATATTTGCTCAGCACACTGGTTAGATGAGTTAACTGCAGATATATTGATTCTATTAATTAACCTTTTATCTATTTAAGATGATATATGATTAGATTTACAAGTTTTTGAACTTCATTTTGATATGTACCTGCCATGATTAAAGTTATAATATCATCCAATCCAGACGATCATTTTTCGGTATGAAACCTAGTAGTAGGCAATCTTCATTGATTATTCTTTTAAAAAACACTGAGAACCTGGACATGGGTATGAAACCTAGTAGTAGGCAATCTTCATTGATTATTCTTTTAAAAAACACTGAGAACCTGGACATGTAATAAAATAGATACAAATAAATTTTGACTACTTAAAGAAATAAATTAGAATAACAATTTTGTAAAATTAGCTACCTTCTCTAAAGAAAGCTATGGTTTCCTCTCAATAGGTTCAGGAAGCTGTGCTTGGTCATCATTTTTCTTGCGAACGACTCATCGACAATATTTTTTTGTGCAGTATAGATAAGTTAAAAATAGTTGACATGAAAATTTAAATTAATAAAGTGAACTATTCTATGAATATGTATTTTGATTCACATAATTAAATGTTAAATTTAAGTTAATAACTGCAATAACAATCAAAGCATGCGATAGTTATCAAACAACTATATGAGCATATGCGTATAAATCATAAATTGTCCAAACAAATTAAATTCATCAATTAATAAACTTAAAAGCCTATGAAAAGCACATTTAAAATCCTTTAACCAATTTGTAAATGTAATTAAAATTAAAAAACATTAATGTTTAATTTTTGTTGGCCTTTGATCAATCCTTCTCCACCTTGATCTTCTTTTTTGGTAAATCGAGAAATGAATCATCATCATCAATGTTGATTGTGATGTCCTCTTGGATTTGGATTTCTTGTGCTATTATCTTTCCTTGTGCACGTTCATCCTTTGACTTCTCATCCAACTTTACAAGGAACTTGTATGTCTTTTCGATGTTGAGAACAAACTTTTGAAAGAATGAACTCTGATTTTTTTCTGTTTTAATGAGGAAAAAATTAAGATCTTATACATGAAATATATTGTTTTATATGTATAAAATATAATAAAGTAAGAATTTACCTCTTTTATATCATCCATGAATTTTTTAGCATCACATCCTATCAATGTTTCTGCTGCGTCAAAAAGTGTGACTCTTGCATTGTTTGTTTCGTCTTCCACTATGATTTTGACAACATATCTACATTTTGTATTATAATTGTCCATAAGATGATATTTATATATTTAATCTTTATATTTTTATTTCATGAGTAATTGATAGTAATTTACCTCGGTATACTGTCTTCATTGTTTTTTTGACAGTTTTGATATTTGTCATAAATATTTTTCTCAACTTTTTTATTGCAGCCTGTGCATGAGTAGTACCAAGCCTCATGTCTATTTAAGATATTACTTATTTTTCCAATAAAGCTGCCATATTGTGCCTGTAGATTTGTAAAAATTAAGTTAGTTATAATTTTAGTTTACATATATTTAGTAAAAAAAATTATAAATTTTAAAATAATTGAAAAAAATATAGTAAATTTTTTTAAAAAAAATTTAATGCAAAAGTAATAATTATAAATGTATTTTAAACATCAATGAAACAATATCTATTTATATTATTTTTTTTAAAAAACTTAAGCTCTTGATTCATTACTATTTTATAGTAGGAATTTTAATATAATACCTTGGATGATTCTTGTGAAGCTTGCATAATGTCACCAATATTCATTTTCGTTGCATTTTTAAATAGCCTCGACGGAGCATCATTTGTCTTGATCTTCTCTTTTGAAAGAGCCCTGCATATAATTTTAAAAATATTTAAATTTTAATTTATCAAGTTACCTTCTTTATTTGAATTACCATTCTCGCATGTCCTTAGCAAGTTGTATATCAGGGTTGATAAATATTGTTGATGCAATTTGCGAAGTCAAGCACAACTCCCCTGCATATATATTAGTTATAATTAGAAATGGATATTTTTTGATAAGTAATTTACAATTCAATTTAAAAAATGATACATTTGTACAATGATATTTTAAAATCTGATAGCGCTATGATAGTGGTCTCATGCTTATTTCCTTCAATCATTGAGCCTTCATTGACAGCTAAATCTTCGAATAAAGTTACAGACAATGTTATGTCACTGTATAAGAGAAGTTAGACAATTTTAGGTTAATATATTATCGAATAAAGTTACAGACAATGTTATGTCACTGTATAAGAGAAGTTAGACAATTTTAGGTTAATATATTATATTTTGAATAAATAATTTATTGTGAAATAAAAGCATGCGTGTATACTCTTTGTCTACTATAATGAATTCCCGCATTGTGTCTGCCTTATTATATCTTGTAACGTACTTGATCATAGGCTTGACATTTGCTATCATTGCAAGAACATCTGCACATAAATTTATAATAAGTTGAAAATTCTTTTATAAATTTATAAATTTAAAATAAAAGGTTTTTACAAATACTTACTTATATTCCTTGTATCCTCGTTGGAAATTGCGTCTTTGATTGAGATAAAGTTATTCAATATCTTATCATATTGAAATTCTGCTTTTGACTCTTTGATAGAAATGTTTTTAGTCAATGTCAACTCAATTGACTCATGTACATTTCCATAAAGCGGGTTTATTGGTTTGACTTCTCCATTTGAGATGTAAAGAACATTATTCTTCTGAAGCATTTGCTTATACATTTCAATAGTTTCTCCAAACATAATACCTTGTATTTTTTTCCCCTGCAAATATTAGTAATATTATCTCACAAATATCAATAAATATCAATAACCATACCTATGTGGAAAACTTTTAAATAAACATACTCTAGGTTTGATTGGATTGTATCCATAATATTCTGGTCAAAAAGAAATAACATTTTAACTCATGAACAAAACTAACCTTATTTATATAAAGTTATATGTTATTGAATTAGAATTTCTACTACTTACTAATAAGTCATTTGATCTCAAGTAACAAATTTAATCGTTTTTACAGATTAACTCTTTGTAAAAAATGAATTACATGTTGCTTACCTATTTAATAAATGCAGGAATTTTTTTATATTATTTTATACATAGTAAGGTGATAATAATTAATATAAGAATAAGCATAAACAATTATAATTTAATTAATATTTATAATTTATATTTATAAATTTATAAAAAATTGAGAAGGCTTTGCATAGATTTAAAATAACGATTGCTATGGCATGATAAAAAGGTATGCATATTGTACTTAAAAATTGTATGTATTACTTTATTTAAGAATAAGTATCAACAAATATCAATAGAATTATAGCATGTAGAATTTTGCTAAATTACCTCCGAGTCTGCAAAAATTAATTTTAGTAGTTTTCCTGATCCTTTGTTGTTCTCATAAGATGACTCGATAGTTCTTAGGATAACAACAAGAATAGTCCACTCTCTTTGAAATTTTTTGAGTTGGCGTATTTGGAGGTGTGGAATTGGTGATTCATTGGTGGATGTCATCGTTCCTGCAAGATTTTGAATAGTTTGTTATATGTAAATAACAAAGCATTTGAAGTACTAAATAAACTCAAAAGAAAATTAAATGAGACTATTTCTATATCAAAGATGTGACACTAATTGAATGATGTAATAATGAATTGTAACTTTTTTAATTAATTTTATGAAAAAAACTTTAATAAAAATTGCATCTACTTATTATATAATAAATTCCTAACCTTCAAAAATGTTATTGGTCATTTGAATTATTCCTCGTGGTCGTTTGGCTGGAGAACTTCCTTGTATACAACATTTTTTGTGTATTGTTCCTCTTCTGCAAATTTTCCATCTGATGTTATTAAGACCTTGGTTGTCATCATAGAAGTACCCCGCGATAAAGCAACATATAATTGTCCATGAGAGAACACTGGTTCAGGTAGATAAATAGCTACGTTAGGTATTATTTGCCCTTGGGATTTATTAATTGTCATTGCAAAACATAATCTTATGGGAAATTGTTTGCGTTTGAACTTGAATGGTAATCCTTCATCTTCTGCTGGTGACAATGGTATTCTTGGCAAAAAAACTTCTTTTCCAGCATGTTGTCTCATTGTGATTTTAACTTGAATTACATTATAGTTAAAATCTTGACATACCATTCTTGTACCGTTGCACAGTCTATTAGTTGGATCCAAGTTCCTTAGTAAAATAATTGGACAATATTTTTTCAACAGTAGCTTGTGTGGCGGTAGTCCATTAGGGAGCAGAGTGTTCAAAAATTCTTCTTGGTAATGATGATTAGTGTCATCAACTGCTTCATCAAAGCTATAGAATTCTTTTCCTTCTCCTGGAAACCTTTTTATTAGTCTATCATTTAACATGTCAACATATTCATTTTTTGTTGCAAGGATAGCTCTATCTTTCATATAGTCAATAGACTTGAAATTTTCATCTAAAGATGGAAAAATTGAATTTATGAGAGAATCTTCCGGTAGCTCATCACCTTGATTCTGGATCAACATTGCATTAGGCAGTTTTATGAAATCCCGTGTCATTGTTGGTTCATCTCCATTCCCAATCCTAAGAAGAAATTCACTGAATGCTGTGTCTGATTTTGCTCTCATATTTTTGGAAAGTTGTAGTTTGATCATTTTTCTCCATAAATGTGAACTTACCAAACTTTCTTTGATAGTTTGTGATCTTGTTGAGCGAGGCACCACTGGTAAAACTTGTCTGAAATCACCACCAAATACAATAACTTTTCCGCCAAATGGTTCATCTTTATCCATTAAATCTCTTAGTGTTCTATCCAACGTTTCAATTGCAACGCGTTTAGCCATAGCAGCCTCGTCCCAAATTATTAGACGTGCTATTCTAAGGAGTTTTGATGTCCCATCTTGCTTTGATATACTGCACATAGATGAATCTGTTGTTGGGATTTTGATTTTAAATCTGGAGTGTGCTGTTCTTCCACCAGGCATTATTACAGCTGCGACACCTGATGTCGCTGTAGCAAGAGCTATCATACATTGCGATCTTACTGTGGCAAGTAGAGCGCGATATAAATAAGTCTTCCCAGTTCCTCCTAGACTGTCAATAAAGAAAACTCCACTTTTATTTTCTTCAACTCGTGATAATATTGTAGTGTATGTAGTATGTTGTTCATAGTTGAGTTTTGTTGCAGCATTTAGATCATCAGTTGAGATTTGTACATCTAGCTCTTCTTTTATTTCTCTTGGGTATGAACCTTCCTCTGTAATGTTTTTGGCTTGTAAAGGTGGCAAGTCAAAATTTTTAATATCCTTTCCCATGCTCTTTAAGTAGAAGTTAATATTGAGAAGAGTATCATTTATCACCGAAGCTCTAGTAGCATTTGGTTTCCTTGAGTAGTCTTCAGATAATGATTCAATATATTTATCCCACAAATGATTAACATCTGTAGGCTCACAATGAACCAATATAGTTGCAAACAAACGTCGAAGTGCTGTTGGCATTTGGAAGACGATGGCTTCATCTAAGCACTCTCTTATGCTATCATCAGATTCCAAAAGACCTAATTTCTCAGCTGATTGCTTGAAAGATTTGCACTGATTACCATTTACCGTCAGTAGATCTTCAAATGATTTCGGACACCTAATGTGAGTAAGCAATAGTCGCAGGTAATATCTCTCTCCTTCAATTGGATTAGCCCCATTTATTCGACCTATCACTTGTCTCTGTTTTCTTGGACGCCAAGATTTTGATGTTGAATCCCAAACATAATATTCAGGAAATTCCACATATAATAACTCCTTTTCATGGTCCTTTTCATGTTTCTTCTTGTTACCTTCTTTAATTTTTTTACACATAGTAAAAAATTCTGTAAGCATCGTCTTTGAGACATGTTCCAAGTGAATAAATTTCGATAGGTCTTGATGTTTCCAATATGAAACATATTGATGATTTGGCATGTGAAGTTGTAAGTTAATGACAGCCGGGAATATCTCATTAAGATGGAATTCATATATTCTCCAGAAAGCTTCCTGAGCTGATACCCATCTTACATCTTAAAAATTCTTGATTTCATTCACAACTTTTTCACCTTCATTGTACTCAATGTTTACTGCTACTCTATCATGGCCTTTATATATGTACTTATAAAGGTATTTAACTGCTTTTATGCCTGAGCATATTTCAATATTGATGTGACAGTTATAACGTGTCAACAAATAAGGATTATAAGGTACCACCCATTGATTATTAAGGATTTTGTTTCGAACCAACATTGTTCTGTTATTTTTGCTCCTTTTATAAACTGGGTAAGCATCTTTCGCTTGTAGTGATATCAGAGAAAACTCTCTAGGGTAGTGATATTTACACTCGCCATTTTGCATGCAAACATTCTTCATATTTAACTCTCCACAAGGGCCATGCATCATATGTTTTTTTACCAGTTCATATAGGATTGGATTTTCATAATGGTTTGGAATTTCTGCTGATACGTACTTATCATAATGATCTAATGAGACGATTTTGTGTTTTCCCATTAGAATAATCAACATGTGTGCATGAGGCAACCCTCTTTTTTGAAACTCGATGACATGAACATGGGCAGCAACTTTTCCAAAGATTTCCTTTTTAAATAGCTGATCTTTCAAGTCTTGCAATTTTCCTCTAAATATCCTTGAGGTTAGATCTGGTCTATCATTATGTGTCTGTCCTGGATGTAGCTCCTCCGTGATTTCTTCCCATTCAGGATTGCATGTCATTGTGATGAAAATATCTGGTTTGCCAAATCGTTGTACTAATGACATTGCATCAAGATATCTACGACGCATATCTCTAGGACCACCAATAAATGATGATGGCAGAACTATTCTTCTTCCGACTTGACATGCTTTTGCTTCTCCAGCAGCTACACTATCGACTATGCCTTGGAATAACTCTGCTCTGATTTCTGATTGTTTCTTTCTAAAATAATCAAGTCTTGTTGTTTCAAGCTTTATGTACATATCAACAGCATATTGATGGAACAACCGGCCTGCCGATGTTAATACAGTAGATTGTCGAGTGTCTCTTATCTTAACCTTGTAACAATAATATTCTCGACATGAGACGCTTCCCGCCTTTGGTGCTTTAACACCTACAAGTTTACAGGTTAAGTTAATTTTTAATGTTTTAATATTATTAAACAATTTTAATTATGATTTACCTTCCCTTTCTCGCTTAAATATATCTTCTGCAGATGTAAAAGTTTGCTGAGTTACTTGAGATGTTGTATTTATTTGTTTTGACCGGCGAATATCATTTTTATCCCTTCTTTTAATATTTTGGTGCCAACCTACATCTCCGCCTGGAAAGAGTAAAGGATATTGTAAAGGATCATAACAACCAAAATAGTGCTTAACTTGATGATTCTTGCCAGAGTGTGAATGGACAACTATTTCTCTCTCATACGGAACATTATCATTATTTCCCTCTATCCAGACAGCTGCAACCTGATCCACTGTTGGCGAGTTGTAAACACGTTGATCTACTGCAGCATCTCTATTTATAATGATCTTGAAGTCTTCAAGAGATGGAAAATTATTTAGTTTCCGCAGAAATTTTGCATATGGGTTTCCTTCAAATATATCCATCAATCTTTTAGTTGTAGTCGTACTCATATTTGCATTATCTAATATTCTCATTCGATTTTGCAACTCATTCTCCGTATCGTAAAAGTAAAGTTGAAAGTAGGAAGGCTTATTTTCTTCTGGAATAAGAGAGGGGAGATTATGATATATTTGTCCTTGTGCTCTAAATGTGAAAATACCCTTTCTGTTTGATGCAAGTTCTCTATCAAACCTTGCCCCAAATGATGTGAATGAGAAAATGCTATTATACTTTCTGGTTTGTCTTCGAAACTCAATTGGCTCTTGGCTTTGTACCGTATAAAGGGCATATAACTCATCATTAACATTCACATATGCTAGGTGGATTTCACCATTGTGACAACAGGATGTTAGTGGCTCATGTTCAAACTTTTTTGCTCCACAAAATGAACAAGACTTTGGAGTCCGTAGTTTATGTAATAAAGAACATACTGGTTCATGTGTAATTTGACCTAGAAAAAAATAATAGTTTTTAGTGTTAAATAAATTTAGATATATAAAATCATGTAAATATTTTAATAAATTATAAAATTAATCTATGCAAACCTCCATGCTCATATTCTCGCTGTTGCGCTCCACAAAACAAATCAATCTTACGTTTTCCCTTGCTATTGGTACTACTGCCAGCTAAATCATTTCTTTTCCTCTTTATATTATTATCAATGACCTTATGAATGTAAGTTCTCTTCTGATCAACATTCAACTGATTATATTTGGTGTTTCTACTCTCATGTAGTAGAATGTGGTCTTCTGTTAAAAAATAATAAAATATACTATTAATAAACACAAATACACATAAAGTAATAATAATATATATTTATGTTGAATTCAAACCTTATTAATAAACACAAATACACATAAAGTAATAATAATATATATTTATGTTGAATTCAAACCTTGGTTTGAAGTCATTTGGAAGAAGGTACTCTTATGCAAATGTATAGTGATTATGCAATCCAAGAAGTAGAATGTAAATTTCTACAAGGGAAAAATTTTTAATGTGTTAAATTATTGATTTATTAAATTAAACATAAGTATAGCATTGAATATAATTTGACAGAATAAGTATATTTTATTTGTTGTTCAATAGTACTTAAGGTTTTTTTTAGAAATTTGGTAAACTATACATGCATCAGTAATCAAAAATATCTCATATGCTAAGGTTAATTTTTTTTAAGTCATATAATAATAATAATAATAATAAATATTTAAGTGTAGAAGAAGATAAATACAAGGAAATAGAGTTATCATCACTATGAGCAAAATAAAGAGAAAAGAGAAGAAGGTTGCTTAACTAACCTGAATCAATGACAACTTTAGAAATGTTTTAAAAAACAACAAGGCAAATCCAACCAAGTAGGATATCTGCATTAATATGAAAAAATGTTAAATAATTTAATCTACACGTAATAGTGTATTACAAAACTTATATAATTACTCAGAGACAAAACATACATAATTATTCAGAGACAACATATATAATTAAAAAAAATGTTAAATTATTTATGTGAGAATTGCACAACAGGTTTTCAAAACATACATAATTACTCAAGGAACAGATTTTCTCGAGTAATGGATACAAAACATATTCATATCTTTAATCTATTGTTTATGCAATTGATATTAGATTGTTCAAAACATAATTGATATACCTAATATCTAATTTAGGGAAATAATCACAACCAAAATCACAAAAGAAAAAAAAATTAACTAAACTCTATCATTTGTGATTCTCCGATTCCAGAACCAAATCAAAGACAACCCATATCTTTCTCATACCAGATTCCAAACCAAATCAAAGACATGGCGATGTAATTAATTCATAAGGTTTATTGTCTCTCAATTGCAGGGCCCCTGTTTATGATGGACCTGCATCTAATTTGGTACCAGGAAACAATCTGGAATCAATGGTTCATCAGCTGATGGATATGGGTGGTGGTAACTGGGACAAGGATACGGTTCACCGAGCACTTCGTGCTGCTTACAATAATCCAGAGCGTGCTGTGGAATACTTATATTCTGTATGCACTATATTTTGTGGGGGATGCAGTTAGAAACTATTCATAAACTAATATCTCATATATGCATATCCTTATGCAAGGAATCCCTACATTAGGAGAAGCTGCTCAGGCTGAAGGGCCAAACACAACTGGGACAGCTGCTGAAGGCGATACTCTGTCTGTATTGCCAAATTCTGCACCTCTAGATATGTTTCCACAGGTCAGGTTTCTCCTAGCTTATAATCTTCAAACTACCTCACCCAGATGTATCTCATAACGGAATTCTCTCCAGGGAGCTCCCAGTGTGGGTGGAGGTGCTAGTGGTGGGTCTCTTGATTTCCTTAGAAATAATGAACATGTACCCCATTCCATTGCTACAACTTGCTTCTCTGGGTCTTTTGATTTCCTAGAAATAATAAACGTGCTGTTGACTGTAAAAATTCATTGTCCAGAGTATTCATATGAACATGTTTATATGTTAGCCTAACTCCTGTTCCCATTAACTGCGAATTAAGAAGAACAATAATGAAGTGATGAAACAAATAAGTTGAAATGGAAATAAAGAGAATTTTATGGTTATAATTCGTTAATAAGTAATGTGAAGACAAATTGTACTGCCTATTAATATGGCATCTACCCTTGTTTACCATAGACAAACACATGCATTAGACAGGGTAATATCATTACACATAGACTTCAATCATGCAAGAAACCCCATATTCTGAAACTTATAGCATATTCACGACTTGAACGCAAAATAGTCCACAGGTGTGTATACTGCAGAACAGTTCCCAGTGGAGTCTGAAGCGCATAATAGTGTAGCAAGTGTCTAATATACTGAACAATTCTTATTTACCACAATTATAATCCAAATAAATATAAAGGAGAAAATGAATACTAACCCTAACGTGTGTTTCGTCCAGTTCTCATCATCTCTCTTGGTCTCTTCTGAGATAATCATTTTGTGAGCTGACAGACGTATCAAAAAATGTTCCAACTACTTTTGGTCTAATTTTTTTTATTTTAATCCTTCATACTTTTTTGGAACTGGAAAAAAATCTTTCTTCAAGTTGCAGATTGTCAACTTATTGATCTGTTAAATTTAATAGGCTAAGGGAGAAAATAGGTAAACTGATACTTTGATGGGAAGTTGAGAGTTAACCAATACTTTAAAGGGGATTTGCCTGTTTTAAAGATTTAAACTTTATTAGTTGAAAAATCTCGTTTAATCCTTTTCATTAGTCCCAAGTAAAAAAGAAAGGTAGGTATTAGTACCAGTAACCTATTTATTGTTGAACCTAACATAAAATTATTCTTACTTGTTAGAGTACTTAAGTTTTCTATCTAAGTTGCTCCAGTTACTGTGGCTGAAATTTTAACAAAAAAGGTTTTTTTTGTTAAAGAGGATTTGGTGAAATTTTACGATATCTACATTTATTTACTGAACAAATCTCCTTGGTAAGCTTACTATGTGGATGCTTTGTTTATTTTCAAATGTGTGTTTCTTTTATGTTGTTAGGGATTGTTTTTAAAATTTTGAAACTAATTCGGACAGATACCGATATCTTCTGCAAATGAAGATCTTCAACAAGTGTTTTCACACAAGAGGCGCATATTTGCTCTAAAAAAGAAGGATATTGCAAATCCCAACATAATGCATGTAAGTTCTTTCCCTTTATTTCCCCCCTACCTTTCTCATCCTTAGGCTTTAGGGGTTTTCTCCTAAGTTTGATTGATAAAGAATTTAACACTGACTCAACACTAAACTATAGGATTCTGAATCACTTTATGGGAGACATCTTGGTTTAATCTTAATAACTAACGTTATGATATATTATTACTCTGCCACTTGGTTACTGCTTGACTTTATTTTCTCACCAGGGTTTGCTATTTTCAGTTCAATCCTTGTTGTTTCATTCAGTTTTAACAATATTCTACATCACAACATATTGTCTATTAGACATTTCATTCCTAAAATCTTGCAGCGCTGGATAAAACATTTTCAGTCGTGCAAGCAGGATTGCCTTTCAATTAATGCGTACAGCAAAAGTTCTGTCAACCAGGTAATGCTTGTAGTTATTTCAAATCTTACTGATGAGTTGATAGTATCAATTAATAATTATGTAATGCTATTAGTTATTTTAGCTTATGCTTTGTTTTGTCAATCCAAAATGCTAACACATATGTTTATCTGTCACAGATATCACATTTTTTTTCTTCTCACAAGCATCTACTGCAATATTAGATCTATTTTCCTCTTTTTTTATATCTTTTGCATATTCAGTAATTCTTTTTGTGAAAACAGTTATTATTCTTGTTCTTTTTCCTCCTAAAACTCTGTCACATGTTGATTGTTATGTTTGCAGCAGGAGGCCTAGGATGTATTGAGAGGTGTTTCTTCTTTCCAACCATTTAAAATGTCCCCCTTACCATATTTAGACTTATGTGTCTGATAGCATACTTATATCATAACTGATGCTTATATATATTTTACCTTTCTTCTAAAACTCTTTTTTACCTTTCTTTCATAACTGATGCTTATATATATTTTCTCAAAGAGAAAATAATTAATGTCTATATGTTCAATTTAATACTAAACTCAGTTATATACTACCATTGACATTCATAATGAAAGAAAGGGCACACATGTTCTTCCACCATGAGAATTCTATATCAGACTCAGCATTTGACTACTCAAAACCTCAAAATTAAAAAAAAACCATATTTCCCAACCTTCAGAGCTTTCATATAAAACACCATAACAAGAAATCAATACCCAAACAAATATAAGATACAAAAGAAGTTATAATTGGAAAACAGAACTAATTTAGGAAATAAATCACTACCAAAATAAAAATCTGAAAATTTAAAGAACTCATCTCAATTTAACTTACTTTATAATGTCGATCCAGCTGCTGTAGGAATTTTTAAACCCTTGTCGCTTGAAACTGTAGGAAATCGAAATTTAGTGCAAATTTTAGAAGAAAATTAGAGTACTGAAGAAGTAAAAGGGGATAGTTAGAGTTAGGGTTTTGTATAAAGGAGTGAAGATGAAGAAGAAATACCTTACTGAATCCCCAATTGTAGAAATCTTTGGAGATGAATGCGAAAATTCTGAAGAAATAGTAATCTGTGTAGATTTCTGTAACGCTTCGGCTTCGACGGAGAAGGGTATCCAACGAATAATCGACATCTTTGCAAATTCCTGTAACGCCTCGGCTTCATCGGAGAAGGATAATCGACGATCTCTTCGTCTTCGGTGGAGAGGAAGACGTAACGGAGGCAGAACTTGACGATGCTGGCGACGAATTTAATTTAACGATTTTAAGGGATTTAATGTAACGATTTTATGGGAGAAATTAGGTATATTTAAGATGGTTGAAGGTTAATTTCGGGATGGGAAAGTTTTTCATGAACTGGCTCTTTTAAAGGGTAGATAGACTAGTTCTTATGCACGTGCATTGCACGTAGTTAAATATCAAATTTTTTTTTATTTTCTTGCTATAAGATAAGTCAGATTCATCTTGAGATAATCTTTAAACCTGGATTATTACATTTATCATAAATTTTATTTACATATTTTTTTAAAATTTTTATGAAATAGATTTGCATGTAAAACTCGGATCAATATACTTTTATATACTTGCATACACAACATTATTTTTTAATTTGTATATATCAAACTTCATATAACATATTTGTTTATCAGATAAAATCGTCGATCTCCAATTTGTTTATCTTAGTCATTAAATATAGTGTCAAGTTTAAAAAAAATACAATAATGTATTGTTGATGTGCTAATAAAATATAACCAAATACTTAATATTAAGATGATTAATTTGTATAAGCTTAGCACAGTGTATGTACTTTTCACATGACTACAAGACATCTTAATTATTGATAGAATTAAAATAAAAAAATAAATACTAAATATTACTGGTGACTCTAGTATAATTTTATATGACAAAATCATTCACATAAGCATATTAAAAAATTTTGCATCAAAATCTCTTCTGAAGATTCCTAATTTTACTAAAAAAAATAAGTTTAATTATAAAATATTCAAAAAAATATTATCTTTTGTTTCTTCTTTTTTTATATTTAATTGAGCCGAAATCAATCATTATCCACCTTTATATTTTTCTTGGGTAAATCTACAATAGTGTCTTCATCGTCTATATCAATTGTGATATTATGTTGATATATAATAAAGAGCAAAAGACAAGACAAGAGTGCAGAAATATATTAGGATATACTTAAGATCAATCAAGTTATGTTATTACTCATAATTGATATGTATCAGAGACAAAATATGTTGATAATATTAAACTATAAAACAGACTGTATGGGCCCTCTAATAAAACTTTTTAATGGAAATAACCCTTAAGATTAATTTTGAAAATCCCTTAAGAGTCAGGAATAAACAACTAACAAGTTTTGCAGTGAAAACTAGGAGAATGCAGTACATTCTTAAGAATTATTAATCTTTACTTAATTTATTTATAATGACAGGATCTTATTATTAACTAACTACAAGGCCTAGTACATTATTTTTTTATTGGACGTTCAAGGCAAGCAGAGGACCCAGGTGAGTCCTCATTACAATGAATGTTATATAATTTAAGTACAAAGAAAAAAAAGGAGGATTGATCAATGATGTAGTTGGTAAGGGGAAAACTCCAACAACTTAATTTGGGTATGTGGATATACTATAGATGGAGATGGAGAAGTGTGGTTTTAAAAACAGTGAGTGTGTGGGGTAATTAATATGGTTTTTGTTTGTGTGGTTTTCTTCATTCATTTTCAAGATATATGTAGTCCTGTGAATATATATAGCTATAGCATTACTATTCTCTTTTGGCTTTGTGGAAGAGTTTGGGTGAAAAAAGTAAATTATCTAATTCGGTTAAAATAGGATCATATAAGTTAAGCCCATGCATGAATTTTTTTTTAAACCAACACTAATATGTAAGTATTACAATTGGCATTGAGATCTAAAATACGTGTGAGATTCTCTTTGACTTTTATACAAATAGTATCTTTTAAATAATAAAAGTATAATTAAACTTTATGGTCTAAAAAATCAAATATACAATATAATTAATTGCTTTAAAATAATGTGATCTAATCTAATAAGAAGAAAATAGATTAAAGTGATTTAAAAACTACTAAAATTTCATAATTCATAATTTTTAAACAATCTAATCTAATAAGAAGAAAATAACAAAGGCACATACATGTTGAAGGAGATGAAAATGTTATAAAAATTGTAATTTTTGATATAAAAAAGATCAAACATACGATATAATTAATTGCTTTAAAATAATCTAGTCTAATTTAATAAGAAGAAAATAAATGAAAGTGTTGTAAAAATTATTGTTATTTCTTAATATAAAAAAAGATTAAATACACAATATAATTAATTTCTTTAAAAAAATCAATCTAATAAGAAGAAAATAACAAAGGTACATATCTATAGAATGAGATGAAAGTGCTATGAAAATTATTGTAATTTCTTAGCTTATATATATATATTGGTATGTGTTGTTGCATGTGAGAGAATAACAATTGTAAATAGAATTCTATTTAAATAATAACAGTATAATTAAACTTGACTCATTATGCACTACTGCGAACTACTTGAAGTTTAATCGGTGAGAGATCGTCATGTTGTGTCCTCAGATCGTAGCCATTTATTTTAATTTTTCTTTTTTATAATTTTGAGAACGACTCTTGTCTCTTTAATTTGTTTCGTGAATTTTACAAATATCTCATCCATATTATGTACATTTATAGATCTGCGATGTTTCTAGGTTCGACCTTCGGGGCAGACATTTATTGTCTCGTTGATTTGTTTGGTTTTTGCATATACGCCCTTCATCTTGTATACATTTGTAAAGTTGGTATTTAATAATTTTATTCATGTTTACATTTTAATTTAAACTATATCTCTATCTTCATACTATGTATATCCAATAAGAATTCATCAATTTATCAACTTGCTCTTACTTAATGGATTGGTATTTGAATTATTTTAAGGGTGTTTTTGTCTGCGAAAGATTTTTCCGAACTCGTGCTTTTAAAAGGAGTATGATATATAGAGTTTTGCTACATGGACCCAAAATATGGGATCAACATGGGACATGTGAGGTGTCCCCCTCCTATTGCATAATGAGCTGACCATCATAGCCAGCTCATTATGCAATAGGAGGGGGACACCTCATTTGTCCCCCTTGTTGGTCCTATATCTTGGGTCCTTAGGGAATTTTTCATATATATAGGCTCTGTGAAGATCGAAATTTGATCTGTGAGAATTTGGGCTTATGCCCTTGCGTTTTTGAGTATTTGCAATATGTATTTGCAACTTACAGCTAGTAGTCTCGAATGTACGTATAGTAGTGCTATACCCGCGCTATGTTGCAGGAAATATTTTATCTTGGACAACATATGATAAAATTTATTATTTTTTTTTGGTGAAAATGAGAATTTCTTTTGTAGAATTGAATTTAAGGGTTCTTGAAATATTGATGAAAAAAATCATAGATAGTCATGTAAAAAAAGGATTTTATAAGTAGAAAAGAGCAAAAAACAAAGCAAGGAATGCGACCTTTTGGCTGAAATAAGAAATAAAAACAATGTGAAATTGCATAAAGCAAAATAAAAATAAAAATTCAAAAAATAAAGAAAACAATAGTGTTTACTTCCTTTTCCTATGTTCGTGGAGTTTCAATAGAGTTTTTGCTATTCTCTAGATTGATTTTCTTTGAAAATTGATCGTATATATGAATATTGTCGGTTGAAAATGATGATGATGATATTCTATAGTGCATTATAGAAAAAGGAGTTAGAATTTGGGAATTTGAAGGGGTTTGTATAGGGATTAATATGTTAATGGGGATTATAAACGTATAATTCAATTTATAAGTTAACTTATCTGCGGGTTTATAATGAATAGTTTTCAATGTGTTTGTTAAATACTAGTATAGTGCACGTTCTTACACGTGGGCATACTTGTGAAATAATTAGTAATATTTTTTTTATCAAAATGAAAATCAAAATTTTATAGCTAATATTAATGAATGTGATATTTCAGTAGTTATTCTTTTAATAAATCTTAAATAAATTTTTAGATGACACTTGATTCTTGCTAGGAAGTTCAGACAAAAAAACTAAACCTGATGCTCGTGATGCCCATTAATCTTCAAGTTCAATGTTTTTAAATAAGAAATATAATGATAGCTACACTACTTCACTTATATTATTTCTCCATTACAAAAGAGAAATTTTAGTGTCCTATAGTTACAAAGAGACATATGCATTATTGAAATATGCATTTTATGCTATCAAAGATAAAAAAAGATAAATCTTTTATCTTTTG